TAGCGGGAGTTGGGTTTGCACTTCAGTCTTTTTTCTTTTGGTACCGGTGATATTCACGTTCGGGTGATGCCTTTTCAAATGAGTGTGCAAGTTTGATGTATTGCCAGCCGCGTAACCAATGTTAGCTGAACAATGCCGACAAACAGCTTTGGTTTGGTCCACCTGCCTTTGTCCGTCATCCTTGCATGTAACTGCGAAACCAAAATGTTCCCAAACCAGAGACTTCAATGATGCTGGAGGATTTTCGAGCTCAACTTTATCTGCGTTCGCCATTTCCTCTAATTACTGACTAAATTTGAACGCATCCCTGTGACCAGCTCTCATAGTATGCCTCTCTTCCAATGAAATGACTTGCTCGCTCTATGACACGTGTACCGAACTGAAGGGCCCCTCCCGAATAATTTCGGTACGTATACCGTTACACCCCTAACATACACACACACACACACACACATACAAACTCTCTCTCACACACACACACACACACACACACACACACACACACACACACACACACACTCTCTCTCTCTCTCTCTCTCACACAGACACACACCGATGATGATGAATGATCAAGAGAAGAGAGAGAGGGCGATCAAGAGAAGAGAGATGGCGATCAAAAGAGAGAACTGAGAGAGGGCGATCAAGAGAATAGAGAGAGGGCGATCAATAGAAGAGAGAGAGGGTGATAGAAGAGTGAGAGGGTGATCAAGAGAAGAGAGAGAGGGCGATCAAGAGAAGAGAGAGAGAAGAGAGAGAGAAGAGAGAGAGGGCGAGCGAGAGAAGAGAGAGAGAGAGAAGAGAGAGGGCGATCAAGAGAAGAGAGAGAGGGAGATCAAGAGAAGAGAGAGAGGGCGATCAAGAGAAGAGAGAGAGTAATGTCACCTCCTAATGTATTGTATAACTCCTACAAAAATGTTCAAAAAGTGCTCAAACTTCACATGTGTGCTAACAGTCCAGCCGTGAAGACATCTACTGGACAGTTTTGAGATTTCTTCAAATGCCGTTGCCATGGCGACAGATAATTCACCATCAATTTAGTTCAAAAGTTTGCAGTTCAAATATTCTGCTGCTTCAAGCCTTTTTAATTTATTTTCTCTTCTTAATACAAATTCATTCACTACTACTTACATCTGATATTTAACTCCTTCAGCCTATTTTCAGCTGCAGAAACCATTCAACTATTACATTATTCAGCTATTTCAGGACATCAAGGCTATACATGTTGTTGTTTTATACCTTTTTTTAAACCTTTTCTTTTAAATATTAAGCTTTTTCTGCATTTTTGTAGCTAAAAGCAGCTACCATTCAGCTAATAACATATTCAGCTTTTTCTGCATTTTCAGCTAAAGTCAGCCATAAATGTTCAAAGTTTACAGCATTCACATGCATTTTCTGCAGGAAATGCATTTTCTAGTTCTGTCAATAAGTGAAAGAAAAGATTTACAACACAAGCTCTTTAATCGGTAGGCGGAACCATGTGGAACCCACAGGGAAATAGGATATGAATCATGACCGTGGCGAGGGGAACTATAACTATAACTGTACTTTTCTTAACTAAGATTTTGCGTTTCCTCTCCCAGGCTCAGCTCAACCAGACGCTTCACCCCAGCATGGTGGAGGCGGAGCACGACCGCTCGCAGAGCAGCACCCCGGTGACGGAACTCTCCAACCGCATCCTGGGCACCAGCTTCGAGGAGAAAGGGTCCGCAGCAGCGTTTGGAGGTAAAGCAGCAGCAGCAGCAGCAGCAGCTGCGGCAGGAGGAGGTGCGGGTCCCGAGGCCGTCCTGCTCAACGGGAACCGGTCCTCACACAAGCGGCGCTCGTCGGAGAGCGAGAATCGGGACACAAAGAGACAATACTCTCTGGAGCGGAGGGAAGAGTCGCCGGAGAGAGCGAGAGAGAGGGAGAGACAGAGGGACAGAGAAGGCCGGGGGGGCAGCAGCAGCAGCAGCTGTAGGTCCAAAACCCCCTCTGCTTCATCATGCCACTCCTCTTCCTCCACCTCCTCCTCTGCAGGGAAAGCAAACACTGTGGTGGGTGTGAGCATGTTGGACTCCAGTGAAGGAATCTCAGACGAAGGGGAGGCAGTGAGCCCTGAAACCAACCTCCGCTGCCTGGTCAACTTCTTCAGGTAAAGGTCAACATACTTTGAATCATAATGAATTATTATTATTACCTGACAGAAATGACTTTTTAACTGAATAAGTAGTTGTGGACGAGTAGAACATGAGTTCGTATATACATTTTGATTGATTACTTTTTTTGTATCGGTCTAAAGGCTTTAGATCTTTCTTGTGTGTTACAGAAGGTGATAGTCAGTATAAAAACAATCCTTATTATAGTCTCAAATATATGTAGAAAGACTGCGAAGAAATACCTACCTCGTTTGATTTCCATGAAACAGAAGAGGCTCAAATACCCAATCTTTTTAATGCAATCATCACCTGAAGCTAATTTGAGGCTTCATCAGAATTTGTTGCTTTCAATCTAGCGCGCCTCTTCCTCTGTTGATGACTCTGTAGTTTTCTTTGTGTATCCTTGCTGTGTGAATTATGTACTACCAAGACTAACTTTGAAATACAATTTCTCATTGACTAACTGCTCATTTTAGAATTGGTTGGAAAAAAAATCTATGTAACAGTTCTGCATAAAATAAGAACAGTGGAACTGACTTGGGAAGGTTTTTCTTCACAACAAGCATTGACGGGTAGAAAAATAAAAGCCACCAGCTGAAATGTAATTGGACCGTGAAGGCCTCCACCAAGGCCAATGCTGCATTTAAGAACTGCTTGGAAAGCTCCATTTCACGAGTTGGCAAGTCGTTCTTCCGACTTCGGTTTGCTGCGATCAAAGATGTGTTTTATTTGTTTTACCTTTGAATTTTCACAGTTGGTAACACTTTTCTTTTTATTATTCGGTTGGCACATCGCTCACTGTTTACCTGGCGTTAGCTTAGTCCCTGCTGTTGCGGACGCAGGAACTAAAATGGCCTACTGACCCTGTATGCATGTCATCCCTTCCATCTCCCCTCTCTCTTATAGAGGCTAAAACTGGTCCAAAAAACAATCTTTAAGAAAAACAAGAGTATTTCAACAAAACATGAATACAGCATAAATGCCCTATCTTGCAAAGTTACAAACATAAAAAACAATGTGTGCATTTACTCCGGTAACAGTTTTTCCTTCACAATGATTTATTTCTTGGGCCTTACTACACCCTTCCACAAGTTTCATTAAAAAAAAACACCTTTTAGATTTCCCATAGTCCTGCTGACAGACAGACTGAAAAATAACCTCCTGGCAAATGCAAAAAGGGGCATGTGGGAATAGTTTTATCCCAGCTTGGAATTTAATGTGATCTAATTCTGCAATAACTTCTGTTACTGCCGAATGAAACCATGTTAAAACTAATTTTCCTTCAGAACCATGGGATACCAGCAGGAATTAGTGGAGCGTGTCGTCAAGGAGACGGGTCAAACAGAAGACACCTTCCTCGTTCTGGAGAAAATCGTGGAGGAAACCAAACGTTGTGAAGAGGGGTCAAGAGGAGGGGGAAAAGAAAGACAATTGAACTCTGTGCGCTCTCCTGACACCCCCTCCTCCTCCTCATCATCGTCCTCTGTGGCCTCTTGGTTCAGAGAGGAGGAACAGGAGCTGAGCCGAGCGCTGGTGGACCCCGGCAGGTCGAAGGAGAACATCAGGCCCAAGCAGCACAGAGGCAGCAGCAACGGGCTGGGGCACCGGAGGCAGTGCAGCGGCAGCGAGACCAGCACTCAGCAGGTGACAGCCCTTCAACCTTAAAAATTGTTTCACTTTTCACTTTGTAACCCCTTAGGCAGTGAGATGAAAGCCCAAATCGCCTTTTTTTTCAATGTTTCTAGCTTGAAATCACAGAGCATTACAGTCGCTTTGGTGCATGCTACATTTCACCTAATACAACATGGAATACATCATCAAGTATTCCCTTCATCTCACCAAGAAATGCACCATCACACCACCATCACATTTTCATCTCTCATATGAATATCACATTATGTTTAGCAAACAATTCTACCCAAAGCAATACGTGCATTAGACCATGAAGATACAAACTCCAGAAAGCCAGACTCCTTCAAGTACGTAGGTTTCAGTTGGCCAAACAAATGTAAGTTCTACTCCATCGGATTGAGTAAGCCAAACCTTTCTAACTTCCATGAACATTGAGAGTGAGCATCTTCCTTTGTTTGTTTATTATCCCAATGGAAATGGGTTGGTTTTCAGTCTGCAACAAAGGGTGTGGAGGCTTATGTCAACTCACATGACACATCGAAATGCATTCTTTTAAAGCCACATTCTGAGGACTGCATCTTTAACATGCACATTTGTAAGATGTCTGAAATAAGCTTTGTTTATAGAGTTTTTTACTTATGGGGATTGCATTTACGCTTAAACTGTTATTAATGTGTTGTCAATATATGGAGATCCTTCTGAACAAAGCATGCAAGTAGTTGAGGGAGAGGCCAACTTCTGATTAAGCCTACAAAAATACTCCTCACTGCCCTAAGGGTTAGAGTTAGGCTGCCCTAATCCTAACCCACTCCACATGGATATATTTAATGTTGCGAGTTGCCACGATGATAAGGAAAAATACCGACCAATTTGTTCCAAAACTTGCTTTATGAGTGATTTTTAAATGTTGCCAATGCATGCTGTTTTTCTCCCATTCAAAAATTAAAATAAAAAACGTCCTTTTTAGGCCGTCACTATCAAGAGGAGCTCTAGTGCTCAGGGAGGAGCGAGAAACTACGACGTCATCACCATCGACGATGACGACGACGTCATCGTCGCCAATACCAATACGGCAGAGAGCAGGACGTCCCGGATGATGACGGTGCCTCACCTGGACACCCAGTCAGGATCCAGACCAGACTACTTGGCGCGGGGAGGGGGGGCTGCCTCACAGAGGGACTACCTGTCGAGGGGGGGGACACAGACTTTGGGAGGAGCGGTGAAGGTGGAGACGGTGACGGCGCTGCGCAGCACGCCTCAGTGGCTCGCTGCCACCACCTCATCTCTAGCCTCCACCCCCAGTGTAGGTATTACCTTACTGTCAATGGGTTTTAATATTGTTACTTCTATTGGATTTTACACCCTCACTTTGCCAAATGATTATATGCAGAGCGTTTAATGGGGGAAAGTTTCAGGTTTTTATCTTTATTTATCTCAACCAGACCTTAACCAAAAAGTATTAGTGATATCAAAGCTTGTTTCGAAGCCAACCAGGGTCCAATATTAAAAAGTGTGAAGTAAAAACATGAGACCTCCAGCGCATTTACAATGCAAATGGAATTTTAAACCAATTAGTAGACTTATAGTGTCGGGCAGTTTACATTTTGTGAGATCAAACGCACAATATTAGTAAGTGTATGGTTTGTTTTTTCACTTTTGGAGAATTGTTAAGGTTATAAGTTTCAAAAGCTCCTGTTGCACTGTATTCATTTTTAACAGTTTATTAAAGTTAATTGAATTGGGTTATCCTGGGAAAGTCATGGATTTTGACAAAGAAGTACTCGAATCACTTCACATTTAGTCAGTTTTAGCTTCCATTCCTGTTGGTGAATCTTTTCTGTTGTGTTTTAAGGAAACCAGTGTTACCTCTGGATGAAACTGATAATCAAAACAAGTTTAATACAGCTGAGCCAGTAGAGGAAAAAGGAATCACATCATAACACCTGTAAAATCTTCTGTTGTTTAGTTCTTCATTTGTGTTACCAGACTTCAGACTTAAATGAACACGCATAAAGAGTACAGAAAAAATCTTCGTGTTTGGCTGTGTCATTTTATGTCAAGTATAAAATGTATTTTGTCTTTACCATATCATAGCTCTTTCCCTATTTACATGATATTCAAATCACCGGCCTTGTCCTTCTGTTACATTACAAGTCTTGTTTGGTTCTTTCCCCTCAGTCAGCTCAGCCCATTCCCCGCCCGTCGTCCTCCTCAGCCTATCAGACGATCGGCCACACGGGGTATCACGAGTTCGGGACAAGGACCCCACCTGCCAACGACCCCCCTGCCCCCCCGGTGACGGGTCTTTCTCGCTTCAATCAGTCGCTGAGGACCCCGTACACTCTGAAGCTGCCGAACGAGGCAGGGCGTCAGGAGTTGAGACACATCATCATCGACGGTAGCAACGTGGCCATGGCGTGAGTCTGCACACACACATATAGAAATAAGAGAAGCTTTTATTATAATAGAGTTGACTATCAACCAGTTGCGAACCGTGACTATCACAACTGGACCTTCTGTAGAAATTATCAATCCAAACCTACGCTTTATTCAGTGTAAGGGATATAGAATACCTTGGTTGGAGGATATTCTTCCTAGAGACCCAGAAACATATCTGATTGGTTGAATTTTTTTTCTAACACAAAACCACTCAAACGCATAGTGCATGGACTGAGAAGGACAAACAAATCAACTTAACACTGTAAGATTACAGATCAACAACACGGATACAATACTCATTTATTCGTTTTATTTAACTTGTATTTATATACCGTAATTTTCTGACTATAAGCCGCGCCTTTTTTCCCATTTTTCGACGCTGCGGCTTATATAACGGTGCGGCTAATCTATGGATTTTTACAGCTAACGGCCACCACCTTTAACTCTATGGGCTCTATGGCCGGTCCGCGGACCCCCAACTTTAAGCGGCGGGTTCCAGCAGGAAAAGCTGGAGGCCGGAAAAGAGTGAGACAGGTAGCGCGCAAAAGTAAAAGTGGAACCGAGAGTGGTACGAGAGACAGAACGAGAGCAAGACAGACAGACATTACGAGAGCGAGACAGTTTGTCCCCGTACCACTGGTTGAAAACCGCTGCTGTAGATCACTGCCGGTACGTGCGCTGGGAGCGCACCGTTTAAGTTTGAAAGTTGAAAAGTTTGTGTGTCTGAAACGCTATGTGATACAGTACAGTTTACACAGCACAG